TATTAATTTATTATTATTATTATTATTATTATTATTATTATTATTTATTATTATTATTATTATTATTATTATTATTATTATTATTATTATTATTATTATTATTATTATTGTTATTATTATTATTATTATTATATCAGTATTGTCCACCATCAAAAACCTGGAACAGACCTATTTATAAAACGCGCTAATATTTAAGACATCAAAACGCCTTACCCTTTGAACACCTCCTTGGCCATAATGCGGTCCTATAACTACATCGGACCGCTGCCTGTTGAACTTTATTTTTCAAATGGTCCGATGTTCTATCATTAGAGGCTTATTACTAGTAATTTTTTTTTTGATTTTAGCATGAAATGGCTATAGTTAACACGGTTTTCAAAAAAAGCCATGAGACTCAAAAGAACAAAACCACCTTGTTGCAATAAGCGATGTTTAAATCATCTGACCGCTGACAACAAGTCACAGAAGTCATTACGATTAATAAGACATTGGACTACTTCAAAAGAGAAATTAATAATTTAGGCAACGTGTTTTAACCTATTCTCGCTCAAGTCAACAAATGAGCGGTAAATGTCTACTAACATGGGGACATTGATGGAGACCGCAAAAGCATGATTGAACGAACTCTGTTTGGCGCAGGGTTTCGAAACTCTCCTAGTAACTCGGCCTCAGCCTATGGAAGAGGCGTTTTGGGCGAGTCAGTTGTACATCGTATAAAACTCGGTCGAGTATTTCGGCCTCACATATGGACGAGGCGGTTTTGGTGAGTTAGCTGTACATCACATATTTTTTTAGTTTATGTATAATAATACCTAAGATTCGAAATCAGTTGTACATCATATAAAACTTGGCCGAGTATCTCGGTCTTGCCTATGGATAAGGCGTTTTTGGCATCACATATTTTTTAGTTTATGTATAATTATACCTAAGGTTTGAAATCATATGTGTGAAAGTGGCTTTTTGGTTAGAACTACTACCTAAAGTTCAAAGATTTGAAATCATATCCTTCTCAACCCATATCTTGTTCGTTCTGGAAACACGTTTTTTTATTCCATCTTTTCCCAAATCTCCCTTAACGGAAGAAATAGAAGCTCGAGAAAGAATACCAAAACCTAGTTCAATCGTTGTTTGTTCCAAAACTTTGTACATGGGAGGAAGTTCCTCGGACGGCTGGACAAAGCTATCCCAATCCTGTCTTTCGTCGTGTGAAAGTGGTTTTTTGGTTAGTACTACTACCTAAAGTTCAAATTGTAATCATATATGTGAAAGCGGAAAGATTTGAAATCATATGTGTGAAAGTGGCTTTTTGGTTAGTACTACTTACCTAAAGTTCAAAAATATCAAGGTCCATCGGAATGGAGGTCAAGACCTCTTGAAATTGACCTATTTCACGGAAAACAATAATCAACACGGCAAATGTTATTGGGTGACAAAAATCTAAGACTTATAATATATATTACCGAACTTCATCTTCTTTTTCTTAAAAAAAAACGAATTGACTCGGGCAAGTTACTCAAACTCACCCGAGTAAATCGCCTTGCCTAGGGCCCGAGTACTTTGGCCGAGTCGCTTTTTTGAACATCGGTTTAGCATTTGCTCTGAAAGCATCTATACGATAGTCACTGGTGTGTCCACTGATGCCACTATTCTCCTCCTCCACCAACATGGACATGAGCCATGCTAGCGAAGCCCATCCTTCCCCATCATCTTCCTCTCTCTATAGTGTTCATCTCCTCCCCAGTTTACCGCCCTTCTGTACACCTGCCATAATATTTTACCAGGATTTGGTGGGTGAGGTTTTCGATTACAATAATTTCAAAGTGGCCCCTAATGGTGCTATAATATTTGATAGTTAATGGTCAGCTTTGTTAGTTTTAAAGTGTGAATTTAAGAGTGATTTTCAGTTAGAAAGGGTAAATTGTGCTAGGGCCATGCCCATAAGAGTGATTGGATCTAGTGGTAGAACTTGCTTAGGGCCATGCCCATAATAGTGATTGGATCTACTGGTTGGATCTATTGGTAGAACTTGCTTAGGGCCATGCCCATAATAGTGTTTGAATTTGGGCTTATTTTCAGATGTTTATTGAGAAATTAGAAGCTCAAATAATTTACCCCAGCGAACTCTTTCACCAGAAATGAGTTGTCGATTGATCAGTCACGTGTCTTTCCATGGATGAAGTTTCTTGACTAGTGGAGAAAAGATGAATGTCACAATCTCAGACCTATCTATTTCTCAATTAGTGTGACAATACCACACTAGCTCAAGACTCGCAAGTAAATAGAAAAAAGAAGAAAAACCAAGATGAAGTGGAAGAAAAAAATCATTAAAGAAAACATAGGGTAGACAAAGATATTACAATGTCTACACACAAGATTAACCTTAACATATGTGACCCAATGTTCCCACCACAAATCTCTCTTTTAAATAGAGATTTTTTTACAACTGTATTTCCTACAATAATTACCTACTTACAACTATAACTACTACCCTACAACAACAACTACTGACCGCCTAGTAGTTTCATAACTTCTTATTATACAAACTTACAAGTACAACCCCACTACATCACTCATAATAAAATAACATAAAAACTAAGATGGTTGCTAGAAA